TGAAAAGGATGAGGGCTTTTCTCAGTATAATTTTAGTGTTTCGTTCTATTTTATTGGAAAATAACTCTTGAGATGACTCTGAGACTTGCACTTTTTTCCCAATTTGTTTAACTGGATATCATCTTTTTATTTAAAAATTGTATTTTCTATGGCTTGCACTCATTATGTTTTCCGCAATATGAATGAGTGATTGTCTCATCAAATCTTTTCATGTAGAAGCCCCCAAAATGGTAGAATTTGTGTCTAACAAAAAGTTGTATTTTAATCCTTCTATCTTGCTAAATTCTGTTTAAAATCTACATTCTCTTCCAGGGACCTACATCAAGTTCTGAATCAAACTGTAGTTACTTCAAGTGGGCTACTGCTTCAACATTTAAGGAAAAAGGAAAGTGAAGTCAAGAGCTCAGGGTACATGTTATCTCCACATTTTTGTATTTTTTCTCAGCAGGTAACCTTCTATTTCTACTTTGACGTGAAAAGTTGTAGCATCTTTTTACTTGATAAATTGCAGAATCAGACCCCAAGGAACTTCAGATTGAGGTGTAGTTGCTGTTAAACTGCATATCAACATATTCAACATTTGGTGTCATAATTAGCTGAAATTATGTAACAACTGCATAATTTTTGATGTTTACCTGGAGGAGACCTTTGGTATGAGGTGTGTGTTTCCATTCTTTTTGCCATTATGTTCTTTGACACAATTACTTGGCTGTTAATCTTCCTTCACACCGTTACATCCTCCCATGTGCTTATGTGAATTTCACATATGAAGTTTGGGCATTGGGGTGGGGTTAGGGGCTATTGGTGTCCATACATATTATTAGGTCCACATTGTAGAATAAAATAATTCGTGATCTTCTCAAAAAATATCATTTATTTTACTAAAATTACCCATTCGGTTGGCAAAATCATTGTGGCACTAATTTTATCTTTTCAGAAAGATGTTGAATTAGTTTTGGAAGTAAGCATATAACTAATTTTCCAGGTGAATTTAAAATCTGGTTTCTAGCTAAAAGGATGTTGATTAGTTATACGAAGATGATCAATTTTCTGATTTATATGCTTTCGTTGAGACATGAAGCTTTTAAACAAATTTTTGTCATAATTTTCTGTGAAGCAACTTTATCAGAAAAAGTAAATTTTATTGAAGGGTTTGAAGTAACCATGTTTTTTGTGTTTTATTTTTCTTGCAAAACAACGGTCAGGACTGACATGCTGAGAATAATTGACTCGAGAAAATTAATAGTTGAAATTTGGAATCGACTAATAGTTTCAATTTTTAATTTATTGGATCTTCACTACGTCTAATAGAATGGAAATATGTCACCCTTTCATGTCTTTTTAATGATTAAAATTCATTGTTTTTCTAGAAAACTGGAGAATATTTATTTAGAAATTAAAATAAAAATATTTTGTAGTATTTGTTTTTATAATAGCCTTTGTGATCAAAGTACGTGAGATCGTATGTGGTGGGAGGTAGAGAAAAGTGTTGATGGTGATAGTGATGAATAGGTGGTGCCGAAAGCAAAGCTTTTTCTTATTGCCCGAAAGAGTTCTCAAAGCTCAGTAGGGAGGAAGGACGAGGAGAGTGTGAGACAATTAGGTGTTTTCTACTACTACTTATTTTTTATGGTGAGTAGAGAATATTCTTGAGATCTGAAAATTGGTATAGTACTGCCATCATGGGTACTGCAATTCTTTCTTGTTCTACTGATTTATTGCTCAATTTGGTTGTTCATGGAGTTAGTATATCTGGCGTGAACCTTTGGATAGACTATGCAAGATCAATAATTATAGTTGCACGGAGTACAGTAGAATTCCTCGGTACGGTCATTCGGAAATCCCAGATGCTCTAGCTAGGGCTGTTAGAGGCAACTCTGATTTTGATAAGTTACATGTTGAGATGACCAAGAAGGTAAGTCTGACATCCATTTGAAGTAATTTTCTTGCCTACTGGGCTTCTGCAGTCTTAGGTAATTGCAATTGATGTGCTGGATAAGGTTAATGACCGTGACACAGAGATCATGACTCTTTATAATAAATGGATAACTGCCAATAGAGCTATTTTGGCGATTATTTTACACCCTCTTTGTCTCCATTCCTTACAGTCTTCCATCAAGTACCCAATAGGTGTATCATATGTGAGAGTTTAAACACTTCTTGTTTATGCATGGATTGGTCAGATTAACTTTGGCTGCCATTTCAATTGTTCTTGCTGAATTTCATCTCTATCACTCGATCTCCAATGCTTCAAATTCGAATACTAACCAATGTAAAGAGTACAATATGTGCTTCGGTAGTGTATCACTAAAGGTGCTGCTGATCTTATTGTCTTTTTTTTTTGAACAGTAGGAAATATATTAATAATAACTAAGTGTCAAGTTTTGACATACTACAACCCATACTGCCGCAATTGTCATGATTGACAGTTTTAGACTAAAGTTTACACTCACCAAAGATGTTAGTTGGTCATTCCAATTAAGAACAAGAAAAGGCAGCGATACATTGGTATGGTGACTGCTTGATAGCACAACATCCGTCTTAAGGGTAAAATAGATAGACATTTTACTTAATATATAGAAGAGCAAGAGAAGCAGGTCGAGGTCGTCATGTGTGCTTGCCTACAAAAGGGTATTCTGGTCATTTCAACTTTAGTCTTTAATTTCCCTTAAAACACCTGTAGGCGCTCTAACAGTGACAGCAACAAAGTAGTCGCCTAGATTATGATGGGCGCTTGGGTTTCTATGTTGCTGGCTCAACGCGTGGACTTCCATGTAACATCTGACCATTTGATATTATCAGTCATAACACTATCTCAAAGTTCCCATCTCTCTCAACACCTCCATGAAATCTCTGCTTCCTCTCGCTGCTACTGTTTGTCTACGCTGGTCCTCATCCTGTGCTTAGAGGTCTACGGTATTTCAGTATGACAGATAGGTCACTTTCTATCTCTGTCTGTTCATCTTCTTTGTCTTTGTCTGCCTTCTGATTTGTATCTTTCAGAGAAAAATTAAATAGGTAATTTCAAAGGCCAGAATTGAATTTGCTCTGCTTTTGTCTCTCTTAGCTCAGAATTCCATAACCTTCTTCTTCGCTGTAAGAAAGAATTGGAGTTTGACTTGGATTTTTGTACTTCGTTAGTTGCTAAATTGATATAATCACATGGTTCACGGTCACCGCTGATCTTCGCTCAGAATTCCTTTGGCTTCTGCTTCTTCGTTGTAACAGAAAATTGGGGTTTCGCTTGGGTTTTGCAGTTCAGTGGTTGCTCAATTGACATACTTTTTTCATTATATGTTACTGTGATTGTTTTATTTTTGGGTTCTTGCTGATTTATTGCTCGAAATTAAATTGTAATTTTATGTTAATTTTGTGAAATTCAAAAATACCTTGAAAGAAATTGGGATTTCCGTCTACTATCTAACTATTCTCCATGTTTGTTTATGTTTGAAGGTTTTTTGTATTTTGACCAAGAGTTATAAATTGGGGATTTAGAATGGATGAAGGTTACTTTGTTGGATTTAAGCTACAATTTTAGTCTACTACTGATATATTTTATTTTGTTGATTTATTTCATTTTGTTATTCTGAGTTTACATGAAAAAAGTGAGCTGGTTCTTTATTGTTTCAAAGATTTGTACATGGCTTCTTACTTTCGAGCTCAGTGATTAGTAGCTTATATATACAAATTCAATAGAACTTGTTTGGTGTTTTTGGATTTGTATGGTGCGGTAAGTGCATACTTGTAGCTTTTAATATTCTTTCCTAACAAATCAATGTTCTCTCCCCTACCCACTATTTTTCTGCAAAGGTCAGCCTTATATTTTGCCTTGCAGCTACAACAGCAAAGTTAGCAGCGACATTATTTATGATTTCATGATTATTGTGTATATTACTTTCTTTTACCTATTATCTGGTTCCTACACTAATACAATACTTAACATATACTTCATAGGCCTTTTTTACGCACTACCAGATATAGGAACTAGGTATATCTGTGCAAGCCTTTGTATTGCAATGTTAATTCAACTTCTCAACTACCCTACTTTGCAAGTATTTTTCCTTGTAAATATTGTACTCTTTACACTGACAAACTGTATTTATCGAAATGAAACATGCTCTAATACAAAGTGTTGGATTCTTTGTTTGTTTGATTTTGTTTCCCGTACTAACTATGTTAACAGTGAGATTCCCTACAATGTCAATGAAGGAATCCCTGAGAAGGGGCTTCCGAAGATGGGGCAGAACAAGCTGCTTTTTTGTGCTTCCATATCTTTCTCTGCTGAAGGTAAAATTTCTTCATATGGATGCTTTCTTGATCATTTTACTTGTTTGCAGTTTATCTTTATAATATGTAGCTATTTATCACGTTATGCTAGAATTGCGGCGTCTCACTATGGCAGAAGGAAAAGTAGACAAAGATTCAACTGGAGAAGTTTTGGACAAGGTTCAATTTCGAGATAATTTAATTGGAAAAGTTATCAAAGATAATGAGCATGACCGAACTGCTGCAATTAAGTTACTTTTAGTAGGGTGGTTTTCCTGATTTAATAGGTAAACCCATAACTCATAGCCAATTACTAAAGATTTCAGGGGAGTTAATATGTTCTCCCTGCTTTTGTCACTATGCTTTAAAGAAGGAAACGAAAAATTGCTCTATCACTTACACGTTCTTTGTTGTGCTCTTTATGTGTCTGATGATATGCTTTAAAGAGAAAGAATGAAAAATTAGCAAGGTGCAAGTGATGGTATATAAACAACAATGTCTTTAGTTATATGTTTCCCTCCAAAGTAGGATGAGGTGCAAATGAGTCAGAGTAGAATCTTACATTTTACTGAACTAGGATTTAGTGATAGAAATATATAAATGAAAAATGTTTTACTTTTACAACTAAAGATTTCTATACTTTTATTGTCAGTAAACAATACTTTTGTGTCAGCTTCTAATTTCATTAGTTAAATCTACTTTTATTTTTCATATGATTTCTTTTGCCATCCAGGGGTTCCTTTATTTGGATTCTGTCACTTGTATTTCTCTAAGTTCTTTGTGGCATGACCAAGAGGTACTATTTCTTCATATGAGTTATGAAGTTACTTCTTGTATATTTTGTTTGTGGTTGTTTTTATGCAGTATTTTGATTTTCAATGATAAAAGGTCTGTGCTGCTTATGCTGTTTTCAAAGTGTAGTCTACACCTGGTTAGTCAATTCCTTCTTAGGCATAATGTTTAATTGCACATACGTTCTTGAAATATCTTAATCGTTTCAACTCGCTACAGATTGATTTAATTAGCTTTCACGTATACTTATTCTAACATCTTTGCTCTTTTAATTATAAGCACAATGTTAATCATTTTATTTAGAAACAGTTTGATAAACATGAATAGGAAAGAAAATGTATAGTATGAATTATGGGGCAGTTAAATGTATTGGTACTTTTTCCTTATAACATTTGGTCAAGCACTTGAAATTTGCTGGTTGCATGTTTTTGAACCTTTGCCTTCTACATTTTGGCAAATAATTTTTTTTGAGCCCATAAGTTTCACAATTTACTTGGTTAATCATAGAGGAAAATTTACAGTCAACCACTGCAGCTCTAAGATATCATACTCTAACTTGTACTATACCAATTCTGCTCCAACTTCACGCCTCTCTATTGGCAAATACTGTCTTACCCCTTAAGCTGGACAAAACCAAATCTTGAAAGTGTTATATTCACTCATTCGACGCCTATAAAGTTGATAGTCACAGAACCTATAACAGTATGGTAATGCATTTAATTTATTTTTTTTCAATTTCAGATGTTAAGATTACAAGAGTTGCCGGATTAATTGAGGCTAGAACTGTACCTTGCTCAGCTGCGAGTAGATGGAACACTATTCCGTTGGCATTAGAACACTTGAAAAAAAACAGGCAGAATGCTTAATATGTTGGGCCCGTGCGATAGCACGGGCAATCTTCATCTAGTCTACTATATAGAAGAGCCCTAAAGCAAGCAGGAGGCCGTCGACATCCCTGCTTGGCGGGGTAACTTGGTCTTTTCTCAGTTTTATGCTGGGTAGAATTTCTGTTGTGCCCCCGCGTTTGCTGATTTATATGTTTAGAGAAAGACTAAATAGGTAATTTCGGCTTCACCTTTGATGGGAATGACGGCCACCGCTTGGCTTTAGGAAAACTTTGCGCTGCTTCTCTGCCTTTCCTTTGTTTAGAATTGCCATCGCTTCTCCTTCTTCATCGTTTGATCCGCCATCCTTATGACTTTAAAGTCTTTGTGTTCATTAACGGAAGATCGATTTTCTGAAATAAAAAATGATACTGTAATAGAAAATTGGGGTTTTGCTGAGTTTCTTCACACTTCCATAATTGCTCCATGAAGATCATAGTCAAAAGGTTAGTTTTACTGCTCTATTTTATTCCCTTTCTATGTGTTTTGTGATTGTTTTGTTTCAGGGGTCTTGTTAGTTGTTGCTTTGTGGTTCCAAATGTCGTCATAATTTTCTCTTGATTTTTTGAAATTTAAAAAACAGCTTGAAAAGAAACTGGGCTTTCCGCTGATTATTTGATGATTCTCCATCTTTATTCTATTTAAAGATTTTGTCATTTTGGCCAAGAGTAATAAATTGAGGATTTTAGAATGGATGAGCCTGTGACTGACTTGGATTTCAACTACTGTTTGATCTGTTTCCTACTTATTTCATTTTTCCCCAAATTTACATGAAAAGGATGAGTTAGGTTTTCATTATTTGGAACTTTTTGTGTTATCGCTTCATATCTTTTAGCTGCCGTAATTTTAGCTTCATAAAATTTGGTTACTAATCTGACAGTGATGTTTGGAAAAAGAGCTAATAATGATCTAACTAGAGAAAGTATAACATAGATGTGATGTTCTATAATTAAAATTCAACAAACACGTTTTGTAGAGAAAAAGTTATCACAAACCTGCCCAGAAACACTGATTTTCTTGTCCAAATGTTTTTGGAGCTTCCATACATCGAAGTCGAATTTAATTTACAAAGATGTAGCAGTTAAATCAGTTGTTGTAAGATTGGGGTCCCCAAAAATGTAAGATTGGGGTCCACAAATTTGCGAGACAAAAAGGAGCCTCATACAACTAGTGTAAGTTGTATGAGACACAAAATAAAACTTCTCGTGAGATTGTAAGTTGCATCATACAATATGTATGATGACCACACTGAACAATGGTTGCACAACTATTATACATAATTGATTAGATAAAAAATATATCGTTGATAGCCAGATTGTTGTATTTGCTCCAAATAGCTACAAAATTTTAAAGAAGAATATTTTTTACCCTGTTTGTGTAATTGCAAAGTACACAAATACTTCTGATGACTTTATTGGACAAGGATTCAGCCTGCTGTTAGGTGTAATAATAAGATAAAGAAGATGCTGAAATGAACAGTATGCTTTGCTGGATTTACTGGGATGATTTTTCAAATTCTCATAACTCATGTTGGATCTCGAGTTTTCATTTTAGTGCGTGACAGAAATAGATTCACCAGCTGTCATGGAGTCTCTATCTTCTACTTTCGACTTCTTCTATCAAATTTTAAACTTTAATAGGATTAGAAAAAAACTACTGAATGTAGTAAATTGAAAAGGTTTAACTGATATTAAAGAAGATTGGTTGCAGTAAAATATAGTATATGAAGGCTTAAGCTATTTGGAAAGGAAGTTGCTTCTAAAAGAACATCATTTAATTGAACTTAGGTCGGGGATCTATTGGAATTAACAAGCTGAAAAAGATTTAGTGCACTACCTGCCTAGGTATTCTCAAGATGAGTCATAACATGTCCAGTTGTGCACATAGGAAGGCATGATGTGCTCTTACGATAATAGCAAAGTGGCTGCTTGATTTGTATCTAATCATCTGCTTTTCCCTCTCTGTTCCAGAGCTCCTTTTAACCTGTCACATGCTTGACCATGTGGTTGTTTGTTTATTTGCTTCTTATTTAAGTGAGCACCTAATAAAGTTATCTCAATTTGTTTTGCAATATGTTCAAATGCTACATAACCTATTCCATGGTAAACTTACAGCAGGTAAGGCTAAAATTGTGCCATATTTCTACTTTAAAGATTCTCTATAGTAGTTTGCTTATCTTTCTTGGAAGTAACAACCCATTATCATTTGTGTGTCCATTTAGCACTTTTATATTTATCTCCACTCGCTTAGTGCATGCATTTTTTAAATACCCTAATAATATAACCAATCAGTTCTAAAGATTCTTTTGAGTCAGATGTCCATAGTCACTCTTAATTATCTTAAAGAAATTAGTTTTGTCATGATAGTTCATTAGGACTATCACCAAATTTGGTGAGTACAGTTGGTTGAATGCATGACCTTATAATAGTAGATCTATAACGTAAGTGAAATTATTATATACTTTTCTTGCAAGCAGAGACTGAAGAACCAAGGTTGTAGAGAATGGAATCAATAGAAATGAAAGAAGCTCTTTTGAGAAAGAGGCTGAATGTGGAGGAAAACTGTAGGAAAGCATATTTTCTTACTGAGATTTGAGACACAAAATTCAATCAGTTTTCCCGTGAAAATCATAGAAACTGGTATGTATTCTATCTTAAATAGACATCAGCAGTCCAGTAGCAACTTTTTCTTTTTCAAACAAGTGATCTCTAACTAAATCATTACTGCAGCAATTTGTGTACTATTTGTATGCCTAAAGAGACTGACTTGCACCATAATTCTTTTTCTAATATCTTTCTTATACAAATGAATATTGTCACCCATGTTGAAAAAGGTGCACATCCTATTCCGAAGAAAGCTGATAAAGAGCTCAAACTCTTGTCGTGTATCTTCCTTTACTTTGCTTTTGATGTACTTCTGTTTTAATTGCAAATGTATAGCTGTCTCAGTACTCAATATTATATTTTAAAATTTCAAATTGCCACAAACAATTGTATATTTGACAATACCTTATGGTGTTTATTTGTCGTTGAAGGTACTATAAAACCTCTCTTATGTTGTCTGTTGCTTGCTTATGCTTCTGGTATAATAAGAGCGACTATTGAGCTGGGCACTGTAGGTGATACTCAAAAGGGAAACACAGGTTGCTTTACTTGAAGATGCACATTTTCTATATTTTATGGGTATTGCATCAAAAATACCTGGTTGTAGCTACCGATGGTTGACTAGATAGCAGTGGCGTTGTAGATTCTTTTTATATCCTCTTTTGCATTTGGTATGATATATCGAAAAGCCTATTGGTTATGATAGTCCAGTTTCTTATTTATGAATGGAGCTATTCCATTGGCATCAGAACACTTTTAGAAAAAAACAAAGCAGAATGCTAATATGTTGGGCCCGTGCGATAGCATGGGCAATCTTCATCTAGTATTGTATACAATGGGTTAGTTGAGAGAGAACATCCTACTTCTCTTTAGAATTTCTAGAGACAGGAATAGAACACTTTCGCATCTGTTACCTCATTTATGAATACACTAACAAACACTAATACACTAGAAGATGTTCCCAGAACATTAGACACTACCAATTGACATTGAGATAGAAAACCTAGAAGATGAAACAAGTCAACAGACAAAAAACAACCTCCATCCAAACCAGAACAACCTTAAAATAGGAGTACTACAAATTACCCGACCGGAGAAATGATCAGCTGGACCACACGATTTTTTTTTGAAAATAAACTACAGGTCAAAAAACGCCCAAAACAGGAACCAAATAGTGGTGCAAAAATCCATTGTAGGGTTCGATATATCGGATGAAACTAATAACCACTTCGACTTTGACAACTTTATCCCCATTACGTCGGAGGATAAGGAAAGAATTTATAAGAACTGGAAAATTCCTTAATACAGTAATAAATATCGTTGGCAGAAGGGTAACGTACAATTCATTCAACAAAAAATCACCCGTAATTTGAAAACCATCAAAACTTGTAACATTAATCGACCTAGGCTACGACTACTACCTCATAAAGTTCTCTAAACCAGAAAATTATGAGAAGGCTCTCGATGGGGGGCCTTAGTTCATAGGAAACCAATTCTTTACAGTTAAAAAAATGGGAACCTAGGTTCATAGCCGTAGAGGCATCCCTAACTTATTCAATCATATGGGTTAGGTTGCCAGAGCTCCTAACGGAGTTCTATGACTATAAAATTCTTCAAAAAATAGGAAACAAATAAGGAAAGTTACTTCATATTGATGCATGTACATCCCCATGTACATCCCCAACCATCAGGGAAAAATATGCAAGGATTTGCAATCTAGCACCCATAGAAAAATCCCTCAAAACATACATCATCATCGGAAATCACTACCAAAAATAGCTTACGAGGGCTTTAACCTACTGTGTGAATCATGCGGAAGGCTTGGACACACACAAAAGAATTGCCCTAACATAAGAACACCTATAGAGGCCAAGAACCCAACAAACAAAGAAAAAACTCAAGAACTAGAAACCTTAACTAAGGAAATAGGCCAATGAACTATAGTTACACACCAGAAAAGATAAAAAAAAAAATACAAGAACATACAAGGCGAAACCACAAGACGCCACAAAGACAACCAAGACAAGAAACTAGATCCAGCGGCAAAGCATCGATGGAAAGTAACTTAGGATCACTAGAGGCAAAACTAGGGCAACCCCAGAAACAAGAGTTTAGACGAAAAAATATTGAAATATCCAACTATATGGAAACTCCCTTAACACATCGGGTAGTGTGTTGACCAGTGAAGAGACTACAAAGAAGCATGGTGAGGTATTTAATGCAGCCTCCAATAACGGCACAATTAATCAATTAAACCTAGGACACCAAAACCAAAAGTTTGCTAATAAAACTTTGGTCAATGACCCAAGCCCATCAGATGTATTTCATTCTGCTAAGCATTTAATACCTAAATTCAATAACCAAGAGCCCAGATCTGCAAAAGACACGGAAGAGGCCACCAAAACTCCTGCGCCCAATGGACATCCCTCTGTAAGCCCTAGGAACAAAGAGCAAACAAAAAACCTTCTAGATGATAAGATCAAATCAGAAACAGGCAGCAACAACATGGATCTGGATTATTCCACCACCCAAGAAGATGTCCCAACATAAACTATTAGTGAAAATAGCCCACTCAAGTCAAAGGACAATATACCTCTAAAAATCTAAATTAGTACAACTACAAACACCTCAAACGTACATCAAACCAAAACCTTAGAAGCCATCAAGAATAGATAGAAATATTATATACAATGGGTTAGTTCAGAAAGAGAACCTCCTACTTCTCTCTAGAATTTCTAGAGACAGGAATATAACACTTTCGCATCCGTTACCCTTTCTCAAGTAGAGACTAAGTCAAATAGGCATGAATCAATGTTTGCAATCATTAATTCTTGAATACAAGCATGAACAAGGCTAAATATCACTAACTCAATTACAAACAAGCCCTAAACCAAATACTCATTATGTACCCACACTAGGGTTGGGCCACAACCCTAGTTAGAAGTTTAGCTACTCATCAAAAATGAAGAAATAAGAAGAAATTAAGATAGAATGCATAATAATTGATTAGAGAAAGGAAATCTAATGTTTAGAAGTTAATCTAGTACAAAATTACTCTAAAACAGTAAAGAAAATGGCTCAGATGCTCTCTCAAAATAAAACTTAACCTAAAAATGACTAAAAATTCTATTTATACTAAGCTGAAAATATCTAACAAAAATGCCCCTACGAAGATTGGGCGACTGCATAATTATGTGTGCGGTCCACACACTGAGCTTCTACGACCGCACAATTATAGTGCTGTCCGCATTCTGGAACTTGGGCTTGGCACTTTGAGACTTCTGCGGTCCGCATAAAAATTTGTGCGACCACACTTTTGATTGTGCGGCCCGCACAAAAATAGTACGGTCCGCATTCTAGCTTGACTCTAGAATTCTCATCTCTCTGATCTCTGTCTTCTGCGGACCACATAATTTTGAGTGTGGCCGCACTTGTACTTCTGTGGCCGCACAATTATGGTGTGGTCTGCATGCCTTCAGTTGGCCCAAAAACTAACTCTTTGAATCTCTTATGTAGCCCTTTTGCCTCTATTTTGGTTCTTGTTTACTTTTGACTCCTTTATGAGTTGATTTTGACTTTTTTGGCTCGTTTCCCAATATTCCTGACCGCAAGCACATTTTATTAATTTTTGGGAATACCTTTACGCATTTTTAAGCTAAAACGCAAGTAAAAGAGAGCAAATAAGCAGTCAAAATCCCTACTTATCAACTCCCCCAAACTTAAACTTTTGCTTGTCCTCAAGCAATTAAGGCAATTCCCACCTCCACTAGGAAAAGGGATATTTCAGCTGGCCTAAGGTGAATCAATCACACATCAATTAAGACTAACAATTACCCACAACACATATGAATTATCAACAACGCAATGATTTGACTTTTTGAGTACAATAATTCTAATGTGACACTAAAGTATCAAGAGTTGACTCTATTCATCAAGGAAGCTCGCTCTTTCATGTAGGTCATTGTGGATCCTAAACTCCTCCTCCTCTTCTCTCCATTACGAAATCTCACTTTAGAATGTAATACCCGGAACAAGGATTGTGAAAAGTTCGCTCATCTCTCTCAAAAGAACTTCACAAGTCTGGGTTTAAGTACCATAAGCTTGCCCCTTATGTAAATCACCACTAATGTAAGCTCTCAATTTGAAATCATGTAGGACTTTTGGGGGATGTAATGAAGGCTTTTGACCAAGGTAGGACTTGTTGGAATATAATGGTTTCATCTTTCCTTAAGCACTCCATTTTCTCTTTTCGGCTCATACTTTCTCGACTCTTTGAGTCATTTTCTTCTTCCTCGGAGGAACTAGAGGGGCGTAACGTCACTCTTTCTTGATCATGACATTCATTTTTTTCCTTTTCTATTTACTTCACGCCTTTCATCAATATTTTCTTTGAATTCCTTCAACTTACTACCTTATTCACTTTCTTTTTGGAATTTTTCTTTTTGTTCCTTCTTTCTTTTCTTTGCCTTCCCTTTTCTTCATTTCTTTCTCTTCTTTGTACCTTTTATCAGTTTCAAACTCCTAGCCTCTCCCCCAAACTTATGTTTTTGTCAATTGTTTCTCAAGAATGCTAAGGAAAGACCGGGTGCCAAGAGAGGGTCATTACAAAACGGATAAAGGCTTGTAATATGGTTATTGAAAGAAAAAGGACTTCGACTCAAAATGGTTGACTAGGAACATCACATTGGTAGGCTATGGAAGATTTCAAATTTCAAATTGGATCAAGGAGAGCCTACAATCATTTCTCAAGCCAAGCTACACTTAGAATTTTGCCTAGAAAAAACTTCAGGGCATGTTCTAGACTATAAGCACGGGTGCTTGGACTTGCAATCCAATACCTCACCTCTCATGCTATTGGATTGCTAAAGAGAACAGAGTCGAGGGCCCACATAAACCCTAGTTAGATTGAGAATCACAAATGGCTCGACTGAACCACTCAATGACTATTTAAGTCAACACAAGAGTAAAAGGGTCACAACTAGAGCTATTTTCTGCCAACAACTTGTTTTTAATCATACAATCATAGGTAAATGTGTTGGTACCAAGTGAAGCATGCTTGAGACCCCGTTTATTCATTACTACTATATTTGCCAAAACATACAAGAAAACGGACTCAATCCCTTAAGAAGGTTGTCACGCCATCTATCGTTGGGAAGAGCCATCTGGTTCACATAAAATCCACCTTTGGAAAGAACCATGGCATTAAGAAAACCAAAGGCTTATTGTTCACTCAACAAAAAAAACTAAAAAATTAAAAAGAATCTACTAAGGCAAATAAGAAGTTATACTACTAAGGAAAGACAAACTAAAGAAGCTATGAAATAAACTGCGGAAAACAAGATAAATTAATATACAAACCAAAAGGAAATGAATATGTACATAGGGGAATGATTATATACATCAAATGAGAGGGAAGAATATATACATACCAAAGAGAAAATAAAGATAAAAGAAAAATAGTATAAGAGTTATTACATGCAAAATTCAGATGTCAAGGTCAATCAATCAAAATAGACCACCCCAAATAAAAATAAGCATTGTCCCCAATGCTTAAAAAAAATAAGAATAGGGAAGGGTAGAGAGTTAAGAGAACTCCCTATGTTGTCTCAGTCTGCATGGGATCCTCAGCACCCTCGGTCTCTAGATGTATCTCATCATCACTTGGCTGAGGGACAACAGCGTTGCTGAGCACCTGGATTATCTCCTCAACGATGTGGGCA